AAAAAAAAAAAAAAAAAAAGAAAAAGGCAGTCTGGGTAACATAGTGAGACCTCATCTCTACAAAAAATCAAAAAGTTAGCTGTGTGTGGTGGTGCATACCTGCTGAAGTGGGAGGATCACTTGAGCCCAGGAAGTCTAGGCTACAGTTAGCTGGGATTGTGCCACTGCATTCCAGTCTGGGCAACAGAGTAAGACACTGTCTCAAAAAACAAAAGCAAACACACAAAAACTGAGCAGTCATCCTTAACTGCTCCTTTTAACTTTGCCCCCCATATTCATTTGGCCAACAAGTCCTGCTGATTTCACCTTCTTAATGAGTCTCAAATTTACTCCCTCTCTCTTGTGACTGCCATTGGCTTCTTCAAGAGTTCCTTGAGTCCTCTGGGCAGTGTTAGGTGTCTTCCATCTACCTTCGATCATATTTTGTGTATAATCTTATTGTATATACACTCATAGGACACTGGAATTATCTGTTTACTCACATCTTTTCCATTCCATCATGATATATATATTTTTGAATGTTCATCACACTTTAAAAATTTTATTTTAGATTGAGAGGTACAAGTGCATGTTTGTCACATGGGCATACTGTGTACTGGTGGGGATTGCCCTTCAGGTGACCTCATTCCCCAGACAGCAAATTTTATGCCCAACAGATAGCTTCTGAATCCTATCCTGCTTCTTGACGTGTCCCCTCTTATTGTGTCACTAGTATCTATTTCCATCTTTATGTACATTTAGCTCTCACATATAAGTAAGAACATGCTTGGTTTTCTGTTTCTGAGTTAGTTCACTTAGGATGATATTCTCCAACTCCATCCAAGTTGCTGCAAAGGATGTAATATCATTCCTTTTTATGTCTGTGTCATATTCCATGGTGTATATATACCACTGTTTCTTTATCCAGTCAATGGTTGATGGGCACTTGTTTTGATTCCATGACTCTGCTATTGTGAATAGCCCTGCAGTGAACATACAAGTGTAGGTTTTTATTTTTTTTTAATTTAATGATTCCTTTTCCTTTGGGTGGATACCCAGTAGCAGAATTGCTGGGTTGAATGATAATTGTATTTTTAGTTCTTTGAGAAACCTCCATAGAGGTTTAACTAGTTTACATTCCTACCAACAGTGTATGCGCATTCTCTTTTCTCCACATCCACACCAACGTCTGCTATTCTTTGGCTATTTATTTTTGAGTCGGCGTCTCACTCTGTTGCCCAGGCTGGAGCGCAGTGGCACACTCACGGTGACTGCAGTCTTGACCTGCTGGGTGCAGGCAATCCTTCTGCCTCAGCCTACCAAGTAGATGGAACTACAGGCATGCGTCATCAAGCCTGGCTAATTTTTAAAAATTTATTGTAGAGAGCCAGGCTCGGTGGCCCAGCCTGTAATCCCACGCTTTGGGAGGCTGAGGTGAGTGGATTGCCTGAGCCCACGGGTTCGTGACTCGCCTGGGCAACTTGGTGAGACCTCATCTCTACAATAAATAAAAAATCAGCCGGGCGTGGTAGCGCATGCCTGTAATTCTGGCTACTCGGAAGGCTGAGGCGGAAGGATCGCCGGAGCCCAGCAGGTCGAGGCTGCGGTGGCCGGGAGCGGCCACTGCACTCCAGTCTGGGTGACAGAGTGAGACTCCAACTCAAAAAAGAAAAAAATTTATTGTAGAGACAAGGTCTCGCCATATACCCATGTTGGTCTTGAACCTCTGGGCTCAGAAATCTTCTCACCTCTGTGTCTCAAAGTGCTGAGGTTACATGTGTGAGCTGCTGCACCTGGCTTTGGGTTTTTATTAATAGTCATTCTGACTGATATAAGATGATATCTCATTGTGGTTTTAATTTGCATTTCTCTGGTGATTAGTGATGTTGAGCATATTTCATATTTTTTTTTTAGTTGTTTATGTGTCGTCTTTTGAGAAGTATCTATTATGTGTTTTGCCCACTTTTTGATGGAGTTGTTTTGTTTTTTTATTTTTTATTTTTTTATTTTTTTTGAGTTGGAGTCTCACTCTGTCGCCCAGACTGGAGTGCAGTGGCCACTCCTGGCCACCACAGCCTTGACCTGCTGGGCTCCAGCGATCCTTCCGCCTCAGCCTTCTAAGTAGCCGGAATTACAGGCATGTGCTACCACGCCCGGCTGATTTTTTGATTTATTGTAGAGATGAGGTCTCACTGCCCAGGCAGATCTCGAATCCGCGGGCTCAGGCAATCCACCCACCTCAATCTCCCAAAGGCGTGGGATTACAGGCTGAGCCACCGAGCCCGGCTGTTTTGTTTTTTTTTTAAATGTTGAGTTTGAGTTCCTTGTAGATTCTGAATATTAGTCCTTTATCTGAGGCATAATTTGCAAATATTTTCTTTCATTCTGAATGTTTTCTGTTCACTCTGTCAATTATTTCTTCTGCTGTGTAGAAACTTTTTAGTTTAAGTCCCATTTGTCTATTCTTGCTTTTTCAACCATGATATTCTTTGGGGCAGTGTTTTGTTGCTGCTGTTGTTTTAAATCTTGTATCTCTAGTGCTAGCATATAGTAAAGCTCAGTGAATGTTTGAAGAAGGCAAATGATCTTGGTATTTTTAGCCCAACAGTCAGGATAAATACCACATTCACTGCATTCTTATTATGTATCAGGCATATGGCTAAAAAGAGGAAAAAGAAAGTTTCTGTCCTGGAGGAGCTTGAATAAAAGGAAGGGGCAATATAATATAGTGCTTAAGAGCACAAATCTACCTGCATAAACATTTGTATACCTTACTCTGAATTGTAACCCACATATTTAAAATTAAAAATTAAAAAAAGAGAGCACAAACCAACTGTGTAATATTTGATCAGTTATTTAATATGTCTGAATCTTAGTTTCCTTATCTGTAAAATGAGGTCTATAACATATATATCCCTTAGCCGGGCATGGTGGCACTTGCCTGTAGTTCCAGCTACTTGGAAGGCTGAAACAGAAGGATCGCCAGATCCCAGCAGGTTGAGGCTGTGGTGGCCGGGAGCATGCCACTGCACTCCAGTCTGGGTGACAGAGTGAGACTCCAGCTTCAAAAAACAAAAAAAAATGTATATCTTAATTTCATATATATTTTAATCCTTACAAGAATTAATAAAATAAACTATAGGCCAGGTACAGTGGCTCATGCCCAATCCTAGCACTTTGGGAGGCCAAGGCAGGAGGATTGTTTGAGCCCAGGAGTTTGAGACCAGGCTCGGCAACACAGTGAGACCTCATTTCTACAAAAAAATTAGCAAAATTAGTCGGGTGTGGTGGTGCATGCCTGTAGTTCCAGTTACTCAGGAGGCTGAGGCAAAAGGCTCTCCTGAGCCAGGAGATCGAGGCTGTGGTGAACAGTGATCGTGTCACTGCACTCTAGCCTGGGTGACAGAATGAGACCCCGATTCAAAAAACATCAATACAACTACAATGCAATTCTTGTAAGGATTAAAATGAACTATTGCATTTACAGAACTTAACAAAATGACACTCATAGTAGACATAAGTTGTTATTATTGATGATGAGCCAAGCACAGGAATAACCATAACACTAGGATAATTTTTTAAAGAGGGGATTCTTGCCGGGCGCGGTGGCTCGAGCCTGTAAACCCAGCACTTTGGGAGGCCGAGGCAAGAGGATTGCCTGAGCTCATGGGTTGGAGAACAGCCTGGGCAACTTGGTGAGACTTCGTCTCTACAGTACATTAAAAAATAAGCCAGGCGTGGTAATGTGCACCTGTAGTTTCAGCAACTTGGAAGGCTGAGGTGGAAGGATCACCTGAGCCCAGCAGGTAGAGGCTGTGGAGGCAGCGAGCACACCACTGCATTCCAGCCTGGGTGACAGATACTCCCACTAAAAAACCAAAAAGTGTGTGTGTGTGTGGGGGGGTCTCACTGTCACCCAGGCTGGAGAACAGTGGCATGATCATAGCTCACGGCAGCATCAAGCTCCTGAGCTCAAGTGACCCTCACATCTCAGTCTCCTGAATAGCTTGGATTATACATATGTGCCACTGCCCCTAGCAAGGAGAAATTTTTAGGAACCAAGTCTTTGGATATCTTGAGAGTTTCACAGAAAATGTGACTATGTATCTTGGGAATCAAGCAGAAAGTCTTCATCGTCAACGTCTTAGAAATATCCTAGAGCCTTAGAAATCAGTAAGTCCTAGATCTGTGGTCAGACCACAAGTATGGCAGCAGCGCGTGGCTACATGTGAGTCATGTGCAGAACTTCAAAAGTAAACCAATGGCCCGGCTCCATTTCCAAACGAATCCAATTTCTAGGAGGAGGCACCCAGCATGAGTATGGCTTTGATGCTTCTAAAGAGACTCTAATGCACAGTCAGGGTTGAGGACCACTGCAATCCTAAGCCAGTGAGTGCAAGATGGACAAACAGGAGTGTCATTTCCTACTCACGTTGATTGTTGCAATACAATTTCTCAGTTTCTCTTCAAAGGTCTAGAATGTCATGTGACATCTCCCAGATTCTAAAATTTTGGCAAATTAAAATTTAAAGTGTTTATGAAACACAATTGGGATCAAACGAAACATGGATACGGGTTCTACTGGGTAACCTTCCTTGCAGTTCAACCTCCAGCTTGAAGAAACGTTACATAACTTGTCCAAGATCACACAAGTAGTCAGAATAAGAGCAGGGACGAACCCCCAGTCCTTTTGAGTTTAATTAATGTTCTTTCTATGCCAAGGAAGGAACACTTGCAGACGCGCTCTAAAAAAATGGGAAGACTGTGGGAAAAGAGGACGTTGCATAAAAGAGGACGTTGCAGACTAAAAGGACGCAAAGAGCAGTGCCTCAAGCGGCGGCCAGAGAAACCAGGTGATTCCTAAAATTTGATGCAGAAAGAACTCCGGCTTCCAGGTGGGCAAGGCGAACCAACCACGCATGCGCCTTCCACCAGGCGGCGGCACGAAGGAGCAGGGCAGGTTTAGGGCGATGAATTACGACCTCTGCTGGCGACGCTCACGACTTCTGCCGTAAAGGGTGTCTGCAGCGCACGCACACTTCCTTTCCCTTCCAGATTCCGACCGGTCGCCGGCGTGGGGGATCGTCGCTGCGCCGCCCGCCGTCGCCATGGTGAAGCTGAGTAAAGAGGCCAAGCAGAGGCTGCAGCAGCTCTTCAAGGGCGGCCAGTTTGCCATTCGCTGGGGTTTTATTCCTCTCGTGATTTACCTGGGTCAGTAGGAGAAGGGCGTGGGAAGAGACCAAGGGAAGAGGGTGGCGGAGGCTGCGACTCCATTTTTGGCTTTCCGGGGCGGGAGAAGGGGGGGCGGGGGTGGACACCCGGGGTGCGCGTCCTCTGAGGCGATCTGGTCAAGTGGGGCCGATCTAACTTGAGTTCGAGTTCCTCTTGCACCGCTCCCTAGTTGGGTTGTTAAAACCCATGTAGTCCTTTCTTATTTTTCCATCTGTAAAATGCAGGTGAGATGTACTTTTTAGGGTTGTTGTGAAGGTTAGATGGCCCGATGTATGTGAAAGTCACTAAAGCACTTTTTGGCACGAGGTGAGTTCTCAGGTCCTTTCTCGTCACATCTCCAGGTGGGCCTAGGTGGGAAGAGGCCTATGCTGGGAATCTAGGCACCTGGTGGATATGCTGCTGCTATGAAGCATGGCTATAATAGTCGTTGGGTGCCTCTGCCTTCTCGCCTGTACAATGAAGGGTTTGGACGATTTTTGTTATTGGCCCCATTTTACAGACGAGGAATCTGAGCCGTATAGAAATTCTGTTTCTTACCCAAGGTCACACAGGTGTACTGACTGAGAGCTATCGGCCCAGGCATTGGGACATCAGGGCCCATAGTCTCAACCGCTATTCGCTTCTGCAAGGACTTTTAAGTTCTCAGGCATTTTTTCATCTAGGACCGCACTCTAGGATCTTGTTCTGTGTCTAATCCTGTGTAGCTTTTCTTTTTTATCTTATTGCCCTACTCAGGCAATATGGTGGAAAGGAAAGATCATATAGGTTGTTAGCGCCAGTGTTGTCAGTTTGAGCATTCAGTTTGGCATTTCTTTTTCTTTTTTTTTTTGAAAGCAGGATATATTGAGAGGAGCTCCCACAGTGGGAGGGGATTCAAAGGGGGTTGCCCTAGTTTGGCATTTCTAAAACTCAGTTTCACACTTTAAAATCCTGTGATTCTCGCAAGGTGCTGCTTTGCTTCTTATTTGTTTTAGGGCCATGCATTGTAAAGTAAGAGTGCCCTCACCTTCGTTTTTGACAGTCTTGGATGATGCTTGATGCTTTCCTGGCAGCTGTGGTTCCTATTTCCCCATACATTGGAAGCAGCTGGGATAATCTAGGGATATTTCAGTAGATAGGACTTTAAATGATCTTTTATCTCCCTTATACTGGTTGCAATTTTTTTTTAAAAAGCATGACTTTTCCAGATGTTAGTGACTTTGTATGGGTATCAAATATTAGAGCAAATAATCATGGAAGTCTGTTTTTACAAGCTGTGCTGTCCTCCTGTTCAGTCAAACACTGGGACACTTGCTCTCCTTTTAGCTAAGAAACAAATAAGGGCTTCTTCCCTTCCTTTTTTCATTGTGTATACGGGATCCTATTTTAGCCTTTTTTTTTTTGTCCTTGTGGTTGTTTGCAGCAAGTCTTTTCATCTCTCTTTCTCTCCTTCTCCCTCTTTTGAGATTCCTTTCTACTGTTAGAAAGCTGTAGCTAGTTGCTACAGTCTATGTGCCAAAGGCGTTGGTCTGATGGTGGATAATGCCTTTTCCGTACTAGAGTTTCTTTCCTTTTTTTTTTTTTTTGAGTTGGAATCTCACTCTGTTGCCCAGACTGGAATGCAGTGGCCGCTCCCGGCCACCGCAGCCTCCACCTGCTGCGCTCTAGAGATCCTTCCGCCTCAGCCTTCCGAGTAGCTAGAATTACAGGTGTGCACTACCACGCCCAGCCAATTTTTTATTTGTTGTAGAGATGAGGTCTCACCAAGTTGCCCAGGCGGGTCTCAAACCCGTGGGCTCAGGCAATCCACTCACCCCAGCCTCCCGAGGCGCAGGATTACAGGCTGAGCCACCGAGCCCGGCTAGTTTATTTTCTTTTTACTCCACATTGGCGATATTTCCTTCTATTATGGTGACTTTCACCCTAGCATTCAAGTCAGGTTATTTGCGACTGACGTTAAGACTGTCTTTTCCAGTACTTGTTTATCATTGTCTTTTCCTTTATGCTGTGTATCTCATTTAATGTTGAAACCAGTTCCCACATTTTTCTTTTACTTCCTCCTACCTCAGTGCTCATTGTAACCTACAACTGCAGATTGAACTTGTGTAATTTAGGTTCAAACATAACTTTTAGGGCTTCAGAAAGTATAGTGCCATAAAATATGTCAGTGATGGCAACCTCCTTGGGTCCCCTCCCACTGTGGGAGCTTTTGTGTCCTCTTAATAAATCTTGCTTTCTCAAAAAAAAAAAAAAAAATGACAATGGCATGATGATAAAGAATCTGTTTAAATATTTACCAACAACGAGGTCTTAATGAGCCACCAATTGGAAGACAGTTCTCCATGGTCTGTCTTGCAAAGCTTGTGAGCAGAGGTTCTGCGACCCTTTGTTCCATATTATATTTTGTGGATGTTTATAACAAATGACCTTGGAAAATAATACCTCCCTCCAGAGCAAAGGGGAGATATGCTTACAGCATAGGTCCGTCACCTGTAAAGCAGTCTAGTGCGTGTACAGATGTTGTCTCGTCCTCTATGTGGAAATTGGAGCTTGGGAAACTGAAGCAAAAATGATGGTACCTGTCTGACTACAGGTATTTCTGGAAGTAAAAAAAAAACCAAAAACTTTTAACTCTATCTTAGAATTTTGTCTTCTGTCATCTGTGAAACTGGCAGGCTAGTTTGTTGTCTTGAAAATAGGGTAAAATTTCAGATCCCCCATAGTTCTTGGCCCTAGCTCTAATTTTAATCTGTTATTTTAGCAAATTAGCATCTGTTATCAAGTTAACTTATAAATCTATTTATTTTCCTTTGGCTGCTTGATGACTGCTTTAAATTATAAAATATTTATCTAACCTATACTTATAATTAAGAGTTAATTAGGTTGCTAAATAATAACGGTTGAATGATTTCTGCTCCTTTCTGTTACTGGTCTTTGCTTTACAAAGAGAGGCTTATGAGGGATAAAATAAAGTTTAGCGGTTTTTTATAAAATTATTTTGCTCTTCAGAGTATTTTATCCAGTATAATTTGGGAGTTGTATCATCTTATTTCTGGGTAATAACTAATGACGAAAGAGAATGCCAAGGGCTACTGTGCTAATTGGGTGTGTAATAGAAATAAGGTAACTTGTTCTTCCTACTGATTAATTCTGAATGTAGTTTCTTACTCTAGGGAAGATTTGAGACTATACTGTAGTGCAGGTCAATCTAGATAGTGCTGGTAGATCTGGATATTCCAGCCATCCTAGGTTTGATTTAAAAAAAAGAAAAAGTCTTGGTTGTACATTTTTTTGTCTGCTGGGGTTTTAATATTCTTACTCTTTGTTCTCTCCCCTGTTTCAGGATTTAAAAGGGGTGCAGATCCTGGAATGCCTGAGCCAACTGTTTTGAGGTACTACTCTTACAGCTAAACATTTCAGGGCGGATGTTCATGTAGTAGTACTGAATTATTTGGAACTAAAAGAGTAGTAGAGATAGGCATTGAAATGGAGTTCTGTAGTCAGTGTGGTTTTGGCTGTGGCATCAGGTAACTAACTACTTTCTCTCCTGCTCCTAATTTTTATTGACTGTTATAATCATAGTGAAGCATGTTTTATTTATTTATTTTTTTTTATGTTTGTTTTTTTTTTTGAGTTGGAGTCTCACTCTGTCGCCTAGACTGGAGTGCAGTGGCCGCTCCCGGCCACCGCAGCCTCGACCTGCTGGGCTCCGGCGATCCTCCCGCCTCAGCCTTCCAAGTAGCCAGAATTACAGGCATGCGCTACCACACCCAGATGATTTTTTGATTTATTGTAGAGATGAGGTCTTGCTGCCCAGGCGGGTCTCGAACCCGCGGGCTCAGGCAATCCACTCACCTCAGCCTCCCAAAGGCGCGGGATTACAGGCTGAGCCACCAAGCCCAGCTAGCATGTTTTAAAAGAAAAAAGAATTAATTCCTTCTAAGGCGCGGGATTACAGGCTGAGCCACCAAGCCCAGCTAGCATGTTTTAAAAGAAAAAAGAATTAATTCCTTCTACCACTTGGAAAGTGAACTGTTTTTAATGTCCTAAATTTCCCATCTTACTCGAATGAATACAACCTTTTATATCATTCTAGCAAGGATACATAGGATTTTGCTGTTTTCATCTAAAATTTGAGTTGTTATCCCATGTGTTTTCCAGTTGTGGATTTCTTCGGTTTTTTAATTTTTAAAAATTTTACATTACAGTATGATTGACATTTATATGGACATAGTTTTTATAGACTTTGACTTATTTCCTTATGATACATTCTCATGGGATTAAAGGGTAGGAACATTTATGACTCTGATTGTCATATTCCTTCAGAAGTAGTCTTGCTGACTGTTGGATAAGCATTTGTGAAAGCTTTATGCACATGAACAGTATGTATATTCATATGCACATATGCATGTATACTTGCGAAAACTGTACACACACACACACACACACACACACACACACACACATACATACATATGTATAATTTCAAACAAGCAGGTTTGCTCTGGAGGAACGACTTGTGGTGCTGTGGTGACTGTGACCACTGCATGCTGGTGTGTGGGATTTCAGTTTGACACTGTCTCACGGACATCTCTTGTGGGTTGCCTCAACAGACTTTTTCATTGGCTGTTCTGGAGCTTCAGTTTCTTCATAGTGATGATATTTAGCTGCTTTTTTTTTGAGTGGGAGTCTCACTCTGTTGCCCACGATCACGGTCACCACAGCTTCAACCTGCTGGGCTCGGATGATCCTTCCACCTTAGCCTTCCAAGTAGCTGGAACTACAGGCACGTGCTACCATGCCTGGCTAACTTTTTGACTTATTGTAGAGATGAGATTTCACCAAGTTGTCCAGGCTGGTCTTGAACCCCTGAGCTCAGGCAGTCCTCTTGCCTTGGCCTCCCAAAGTTACAGGCTTGAGCCACTGTGCCAGGCCTCTTTTAGGTGCTTTTCACACAGTGTCTCTAATCGTCACTTCAGTCCTTGAGAGCAGGTTGCTTAGTCGTAGGTGGAGGAGTGTGTCTATTTCCAAAGCCCACATTCTTTCCCCTGGGCCACAGGGACTTCTCTGGTAATCTTTGCTTGGCACAATGCCATCTGATAGGGATTCCCTCTGCCTTACTGACCTCTCCTTTCTTGGAAGGGCTTTTTTTTCCTCAAAGGGTACCATCCTGTGTGCCCTCAACTTGTCTACTTCTGCAGTTACTCTGTTCTTCCTGGTAAAGTTCTTCAGCATTCTACTGTTGCAGCACAAAAAGAAAAGAAAAACCAAGTTCTTCAACAAATGGTACTGCTTTCTTCACCTGCCTCTCTTTCTTTAGCCCTTTGTGGCTTGATGCTTTAAAACCCCTTCCAGAGATCCCCACTGAGTTCTTTTTTCTTAGCCCTTACTCTTTGAGCCATCAACTTCCGTTTCTGTAAAATAGATTAAGGTAATGCATCTGCTATTTGCTAGTTGAGTGACCTTAGATCAATTATTTCCTTTGAGAAATGTTACTATAGAAAAATGATCAGAGATAGGACTACTGGCTTAAGCTGTGTGAACATTTTCCAAGCATTGGAAATTATCATCAGATACCTTTCCCCAAGAAGCCATTATTAATCTTTCTGAACTGTCCTCTCCTCTTTTATAAGTTGGGCATAATACCTACTTTATAAAGTTACCATTAGCATTGAATAAGAATATTGTATTTAACGTAGTAACAATATTTGTCAAGTAACGTGTGACCAATAAACTAATAACAGTAATTTTTTTTTTTTTGAGTGGGATTCTCACTCTTGCCCAGGCTGGAGTGCAGTGGCATGATCATGGCTACCTCAGCCTCAACCTCCTGGGCTCAGGCGATTTTTCCTGGGCTTAGACGCCTTCCAAGTAGCTGGAACTACAGGCGAGTGCCACCATGCCTGGCTAATTTTTTGATTTATTGTAGAAATGAGGTCTCACCAAGTTGCCCAGGCTAGTCTTAAACCTCTGGGCTCAGGCAGTCCTCCCACCTCTGCTTGCCAAAGTGCTGGGATTATAAGTGTGAGCCACTGTGCCTGGCTACTAATAGTAATTTTTAATCTTTTCTGTGATGTCTTTCATATTCCCGTTTCCTTCTCCTGTGAGAGCAATGCTGTAGCTACGTGACACTGATGCTGAATCCCAGAATAAACTATGTACTTGTATGCCTTTTCCTGTATACTTGTACTCTGTCAGCCTGGAATGCTTTTTCCTGTTTCCACTGGATGAGAATATGCTTCTAGAAAAGCCAACATCAAATGTCTCCTCTTCTGTCAGTCGCTCCCTGCTTTTCTGCTAGCTGAAACCACTTCCTTTTTTGTGTTCCCATAGTATTATTTTGTCTGTTGTTCTCTGCCTTGTATTATGCTTGTTATTTATTTATAGTTTGTCCTGTAAGCACCTAACATAGTTGTCAACAAGTGTTGAATTACCTTAATTAAATGGTCCTCACCTCCTGGTGATCCTGTGGATAGGAACCAATAGAGCATTGCATCTTGTACAATTTTTAGATTGGATCTGCATCTTGGGAAATAACATTATTTTGTGCCTTGGGTGCTCTAGATACTGAAGTAGGGATAGAATGTGTCCTTCTGTTGTACTTTTTTGGAGGGCCTCATTTATCCCACCAAGATTTGACCCTTCAAAGTAGCAGACTTACTGAAGCACCCCGTCTTCCCCGCCCCCACCCCCACCACTGCTTTTCGTTTCTTCCCCTATTATCTCTGTGCTTCTCTCCATTCTGGTGCTGACTGTCTTAATCTTTTTTGTCGTTAAGAGCATCTTTTGTTTTACAAAAGAATGTGTGTGCCTGCAAAGGATTATTCATTTATGGAATTTCACATACTGTGCTACCTGCCTGGGGAGACTGACTAGAGAGATCTTCCTGAGCTGCCTAGTCTGTGTCCTGAAAGGAACAGACTTGGAACTGCTGCAGTTTTTATTAGCGTAAAATTTACTGTTTATTCATATAAAGTCAATTGATTCTATATAAATTTATTATTTGCATACTACTAATGCAAATACTATAGTTAATGATTTACCAGTTTCCCTGCCAAGTTGTTGAGTTCTTTGGAATTGAATTACATTCATCTCCGTGTCTCTTTCACCCTGATGGCTTATTGTACGTGGTTGGCAAATGTTGGTTGACATGAATGTCTTATTCAAAATGCAGTGCTTTATTTTCTCTTTTTATGTACTTATTTTTCCAATTTAGCTATTATATTTATATGTTAGTTTATATGCATTTATATGTGAGGGGGGGGGATCCAAAAAAACTGAAATTATTTTTTTGGTGGGCGGGCTTCCCCAATTAGGTGAGTGTTCTAGGAACCCATTGGCATCACTGTACCAGCTAGCATTGTTGTGAGAGACTGCATTCAACTTCAGTAAATTTTGGGGGGAGATTCTCTCAACACTTTTGTCCATTTCATGAGGGGTGATTTACAAGCATGCCTGCCCACACTGAACTAAGTGTTCAGCAGTTTTTGACCAAAAATAGCATGACCCCTGTGCTCTACTCTCCCTATTTACCCAATTTCATCTGAGTGACTTTTTTTGTTTCCCTGGATGAAAAAATCCTCAAGGGGAAATGTTTTGCCCACGTGGAAGAGATGAAACAAAAAATGGCAAAAGCACTAAAAGGCATCAAAATTGACAGGTTCAAGAACTTTTGAGCAGTGGAAAAAGAATCTCTATAAGTGTATTGCATTAAACGGAGAGTACTTTGAAGGTGATTGAAGTTTGAGCATATAAGAATAAATACAGACTTTTTAAATCAATAAATTCCAGGTTTTTGGATGCCCCCTTATACGTATGCATAGCAAATGGAATAACAAGACACTCCAAGGTGATGGCAGAGGTTGTCTGGGTAGCTGAAACGATGAGTGAGTTTAGTGTTTTTTTTGAGTCAGGGTTCTCTGTCACCTAGGCTGGAGTGCAGTGGCATGATCATGGCTCACCACAGCCTTGGCTTTGGGCTCAGGTGATCTTCCAGGCTCCCGAATAGCTGGATTACAGGCACATTGCCACTATACCCAGCTGATTTTTAAAATTTTTTGTAGAAATGAGGTCTTGCTGTGTTGCCCAGCCTGGTCTTGAACTCCTGGACTCAAGCGACTCTCCTGCCATAGCCTCTCAAAGTGCTGAGTTGAGCTACTACACACAGCTGTTCACATTAAGTAACTGTGCTCAAAAGTAACTAAATTGTATTTCTTTAAATATAGTTCTAAATGTTTGATTTGCTCAGTGAGATTGATCCTTCTTGTAACTGAATTTGATAGATGACCGAGCACAAACATAAACGTCTAAAATCTTTTATTTCCTAACCAATGTTTAGGAGGTTTTTACTTTGGGATTTAATTTAAATTTAAGTGAGTATTAACAAACTTTTTCCTCTTTATTTTATTTGCTGAGGTTACCACAATAAAAATATATTGCTTAGATAATAAGAAAAAAAACAAGATTATTTTTTAAACTGAATAGAAAAAAATCCACGATGAACTTCACAGAGCTGAAGCAGAAAGAGCAGGCAGGAGGCACCTTTGCTAAAATCATCTACCTGCCTGACAAGTGCCCATCAAAGTTCAGTACTTCAACGAATAGGGGGCAATGTCTTAGTCAAACATTTGGATGAATATGTGAACGCTAAGGTTAACTAAGTGCTCATTACCATTAAGGAAAAGACCTTAATGGATAAAGAACTTACTTTCATGTCTTAACTGCATGCAAAAATACTTGGAGTTTAAGAGAACACCTTAATACATATTTGAAAATTGAAAATGGATGCATGCTGACTTTTTTCTAGGCAGAGGTGAGATATTTTTTAAAAATTAACTTTACAGAACTGTTCAATTATCATTATAATGGATTTTTTTCAACTGGGGGCTGCGTTTTTAAGTAGCAGGATTTAGAAATGAAACACTGCTTTTCTCCTTTCTGGATTCTGTTTAGAGTCAGCAAATGATTTGGAAGTCTGGGCTCCTTAATGACTGGAATGCTTGGGGTAGGAATTTTTTGAGGTAGAAATGGAGGCAGGTTGTCTCTAGGAGGGTACTGGTTATGAGAGCATGTAGGTCCCATTCCGCTCTGCTCAGTCTCATAACTGGGAGTTGTGAACTTTGCACAGTGTCTAATACATTGCTTAGGTAATAAGAAAAAATAAGATTATTTCTTAAGCTGAATCGAAAAAAATCCAAGATGAACTTCACAGAGCATTCACAGAAAGTGTTTAATACATGTTATTTTAGTATTACTGATAGTGCATCTAATGAGATAGCTTTATTTTCTGGGTTTATCAGTCTTTCCAGTTAATGAAAAGTATTAATTGTTTATCTTTTGACTGACCTCTTTTTATATATCAGCTTACATTTTCCTCTTTTTTCGTAATAAATAACTGTGCTCAAAAGTAACTAAATTGTATTTCTTTAAATATAGTTCTGAATGTTTGATTTTATTTGCTCAGTGAGATTGATCCTTTTTGTAACTGAATTTGATAGATGACCAAGCGCAAACATAAATGTATAAAGTCTTTTAGTTCCTAACCTATGTTTAGAAGGTTTTTATTTTGGGATTTAATTTATTTCTCCTCTTCATCAACATTTTAGCCTACTTTGGGGATGAAGGACTGTTTGGTCATCTGGATTTGGAAGCAATCAGTGAACAGCAGGAACAGCATGGAAGGGGTGTGCTTTGGCTGGGCTAAGAGATGGAACATTGTCCGGACAGTGACCAGTTGGAGGGCCCAGTGCTCTGACTTCACAGCTGCTCCTGTGGCAGCGTGGAACCTCTGCTGATTTATGTATGATAGAATGTATCAAAATAAATATTTTTAACAATGTTATGTCTTGAGTCTTTTTTGAATTGAACATACAGGATTATCAGGGGTAAAAATTAAGCCCTTTGGTACTTTTTCAAACAGAATCTATGTTGTACCTAGATGCTATTAAAAAAAATAAAGTCCAGGTTAATTCCTGCCCATTCTTTTAACATATGGATTATAGTTTCCCTTTGCAGTGAATTAATTAATAATTTTCTCTGGGATGTTCTGAGGTAGACAGAGTACAGACAGCTCTCAGTTGGTGAAGAACAAGCCATTGCTTCCTCCGGTGCATTGGTATCAAGTTCTGACTGCAAGAACTAGGGGTTCTGGTGGCTCTGTGGCTAGGGGATGGGAGCGGCACTGGGGAGTCTGATTTGTCAGTTAAATTTGAGTCTGAGATTTTACTCAGTGGTATAAGGAAGCCAGGGCTGGCTGGACAAGAGCCCATGGAGAGCTATGTTGAATGGTAGCACTTTGTATTTTCTGGTGGAAGAAAAGGGAGTGAATTCATGGAAACTAGTTTTCAATTCAGAGGGAATGTGTACTGACTTGATGTTTCACTTATTTAGTCCCTACTAATATGGAGACCTTCACCTGTATTTGCATTCTATTTTTAGTATTTAGTTTTTTCCGTTCTTCTAACAAAATAGATCTATTTTCTTATTTTGTGGAGTTGTAATTAATGTAGGAAAAATAGAACCTGAAACAATATGGCCCAGTTTGGGAAGAGCCCGTTGGGTTGAATGTTTTAGATATCCAGTGTTTAAGTAGAGGATAGAGAATGATCATGAGTAATCCCTCTCAAGTGTTTGGAGCTGTCATCACCAGACAGTGCTTCCTTTTTTCTAATGTAAAAGCCTCTCAACTGTTTAAGCCGATTGCCTCAAGTTTTGTTACCTTTGCCATGGAGACTGGAAGACTATTGGAGGCTTACTGAATAAGAGGATTTTAAAGTAGAATTCTGAGAGCTAACTGCAGGAAAACCATTTTTGATAAGTACTTAGTGTGATTGCTTCAACATCTATTCCAGGCACGTGTGATTTTGCTAATAACCGAGATGGCTTCTAAAGTCCATAGAATTGCTTAAGTTTGTGTCCCCCCCCACCCCCAGTCCTTTCTGGCAAGTGTGTTGTCAGTGGATTTTTGTTAGTATTTTGTTGTACACGACTCTCAGAGTTTCTAGAAATTGAGAAAATAAAGCTGTAACAGGTATGTATTTTGATAAAATAGTAAGACGAATAGTAAACATACTGGTTTGTGTTCTTTTAGGGGTTACCTAGTAGCTGTCTATAAAAACCAAGAAGATTTTAAAGTTAGGAATCCAGAATTAAGTAGAAAGGACCCATCTCCCTTATCTTCCTCTGAGAAAGAGGAACAGAATTAAAGCACTTATTCAAGGTACTGCATAACCGCTGAGACTGGTGCACAATTTAATGAAATGTTAAACCAAACGCCCACATTTTATTGAATTTTAGTCTTTAGGGCAGTACAGTCCAATTCAACATGCATTTATTGGTTTCTGTTCTATGCTAGACCCTAGGGAGTCCTTATGAAAAAGATTATTCCTGACTTTGATTAGTTGAGGGGACAGCACTGAGCTGATGAACCTGGTGAGTCCTGGCTTTGTCACTCAGTTCCTAGAACCCTTGGTGAAGTCACTTAACCTTTAGGCTTCTTCTGCAAGATAGGAACAATGATACTTGCCCTAAGGTAGTATTTTCTTTTCTTTTTTATTTTTTTTTGAGTTGGAGTCTCACTCAGTCCCCTAGACTGGAGTGCAGTGGCCCCTTCTGGCCACCGCAGCCTCGACCTGCTAGGCTCTGGCGATCCTTCTGCCTCAGCCTTCCAAGTAGCTGGAACTACAGGCACGCGCTACCGTGCCCGGCTCATTTTTGATTTATTGTAGAGATGAGGTCTCGCCAAGTTGCCCAGGCAGGTCTTGAACCCGTGGGATCAGGCAATCCACTCACCTCATCCTCCAAAGGCGCGGGATTACAGGCTGAGCCACCAAGCCTGGCTAGGTAGTATTTTCTAAACCAGTGGTTGACATAGCTGGTTCCAGACTGGCATCACCTGAAAACTTGTGAAAATGTACTTTTTGGGTCTCACTCCAGAGCTTCTGAATCAGAAATTGGTGGTGAGGCCTAGCAGTGTTTGTGTGTGTGTGTGTGTTTCATTTATCCAAACATTAGACATATTTTGAGAATATGTTTTCATATTGTAGAGTTGTATGCAGCATAAGAAATGATACAGAAAGATCCCTGTACCCTTTACAATTTCCCCCAGTAGTAATACCTTGCAAAGCTAGGAGAAAGTATCAGGATGTTGACATCAGTGCCACCAAGAAAGAACGTCACCACAAGGATGTCCTTTGATAGCAAACCCTCCTCCCCTTCCCTAACTACGGGTAACCAGTACTCTGTGGACCATTTAAATAATTTTGCTATTAGCTGGGCATGGTGGCACATGCCTAAGTCCCACCTACTCAGGAAGCTGAGGTGAAAGGATCACCTGAGCCCAGGAGGTCAAGGCTGTTGTGAGCTGTGATCATGCCACTATACTCCAGTGTGGGTGACGAGAGCGAAAACTGAGTCAAAAAATGAAAATAAAAAAAGCTTGTGATCTTATTAATGATATGTGCTGCCTTTCAAAATAATTCATATACCTGATTTTAAAAGTGCGATCAACAATTATGAGGCCAGGCTTGATGGTTCACGCCTGTAATCCCTTTGGGAGGCTGAGGGGAGAGAATTGCCTGAACTCAGGGGTTCAAGAACAGCCCAAGCAACATGGTGAGACCTCATCTCTACAATAAACTTAAAAAAATTAGCTGGGTATGGTGGTGATTGCCTGTGGTTCCAGCTACTTGGAAGGCTGAGGCAGAAGGATTGCCTGAGCCCAGCTGGTGGAGACTAGTGGCCATAAGTGTATCACTGCACTCCAGCCTGGGTGACAGAGTGAGACTCTGACTCAAAAAAAATTATGAAAACTATAAAATGTTAACATTTAAGTTCCATAGAGTGGGCCTGTACTGTGTATTATGTACATATCACATAGAATAGTACATTCATATAGATTTGATGTCTTTGACATTATTACATTTGCAATAATAAATGCTACACATTTACTTTTGTTGTCTTTATTTCTTATTTTATATTTTACATGCCCCCCAAAAAGGACAGATCTTGAGTGCATATGCTGTTTGTTGTTGAGTGTTGCCAATTATGCATACCCTCTGACCACCACACCAAGATGGGGACCAGGATCTTGAACCTGGGATTCTTAGTGTGTCATACATGGTGGATATTCAACAAATATGTGGAGTTTATTTTTTCTTCTGCTGAACAGTTCAGAGGGATTTTTGAATTAAATATTTGAAAACTGAGGTTGTCCTAGATACACTGTAGAGGAAATCTTAACCAATGCTGCCCTTTTCTGTAAGAAGCAAAGATAAAAAGATAATAAAAGTTAAATAATAATCTTAAGAATTTGACTCAAAATTGGGGTGATGGGGGGGGGAAAGCTTAAAACCAGGAGTTCGAGACCAGCCTGGACAACACAGTGAGACCCCATCCCTACACAAAAACAATTCCAAAGGATCAAATTTGATTCTTTTTTTAAATTTTATTTTATTTGAGCTGGAGTCTCTGACAGGCTGGTGCTCACTGCAGCCTTGACTTCCTGGGCTCAGGTGAACCTTCTGCCTCAGCCTCCTGAGTAGCTGGGACTACAGGCATACACCACCATGCCTGGCTGATTTTTTTATTTTTATGGAGATGAAGTCTTACTATGTTGCCCAGGTTGGTCTTGAACTGAACTCAAGCAATCATCTCACCTCGGTCTCCCAAAGTGCTAGGATTACAGGCATGAGCCGCCATGCCTGGCCAAATTTGTTTCTTATGGGAGTCATTATATTTTGTCTTTGGGACGTAACAGTTGCCCAGAATTCTTCCTCACTATGGCTGCTTCCTCCTTCTGCTCTCCTGTTTGCTAGCTTTCTCACCATAACGGTAAGGACCTAGTCACTTCGTTCACTGCTGTATCCCTAACACAAGAATAGTGCCTGGCACACAATAGGAGCTCAATATAGGGAGCAAAGAAGTAGACATGGCTTAGAATGTCAGTTGCCTACCAGAAATCCACTCTTGTACAGCTTCTGAGATTCTTGCTCTGCTGTCTCCTAGCAACTGGATGCTAGGACTCCCGGAGTCCTGCCCTGTACTCAAGCATCTTAGGGCCAAGGATTGAGGACTTCTACTCATCATTGGATGATGAAGTTTAAAATGAGAGGTATTATATATGCAAGAACCAGGCACTGCTATGATGTGGGGCAGTAGTTAAGGAGATGTGGATAAATTCGATAGCAGATAATAAGTCTAGAATGGCAGAAGAAAGTGTTTGTATGCTGTCTGAGAGACAATGGGGACATATTACTATTATTATTTAGCTGAAGAACAAAACTCAGAATACCTACAAGTATATCCTATTAGAACTAGAAAATAACTATAAAATGCTCTGTTCAACAATTTTTGGATTAAAAATTCTGGCCAGGCGTGGTGGCTCATGCCTATAATCCCAGCATTTTGGGAGGCTGAGGTGAGAGGATTACCTGAGCCCAGGTGTTTGAGACTAGCCTGGGCTACTTGGGGAGACCTTGTCTCTACAATAAATCAAAAAATTAGCCAGACATGGTGGCAAGTGCCTGTAGTTTTGGCTACTTGGAAGGCTGAGGTGGAAGGATCACCTGGGCCCAGCAGGTCGAGGCTGTGGTAGTTGTGTGTGCGCCACTGCACTCCAACTTAAAAAAAAAAAAAAAATCTGTGGCAGTATGTCCTTAATCTCTTTGAAGATCCCTTCCCCTGTGATATTGCATTGTATTGAATATTTTTTAACAGAATGGCTCTTCAAACTTAACTTTTTTATATTACTGTCTGGGTCCTCTGAGTAGTAGATTTAAGGAAGGGAAATAAAACACCCAAGAGCTCAGAAAGTGCCATGAGGGTCAAGAGTTCATGCAAGAC